AGTTCGATTTGGGTTCAAGTAGAATATAAGGTTGACGGAAACTTGGAGACTATGCCTACCTGATGAATCCACAAAGGGGGCGAAACCGGTCATCGGCTGCCGAAGAGATTTCAGCGACCTTGCAAGTAGTTTGGTTTCCTTAACTTGTATAATGAACATGAAATGAGCTTTTGCTCTGGGTTGGAGAACCGATAATGTCCCAGGTGCTTTGATTGGTGAGTTTGAAGTTGGTTCACAATCAATATCATTCTGCTGTTGGTCTTAGGAATCACGCAGTCTCTAGCTTACGCAATACGCTTCGCAATACGAGTTGGTCGACAAGGAACGCAAGTTAGGTGGAATGATACTATTCAGCAAAGAGCTGGAATGGAGTGTGGCTGGAAACACTGGTTGATTTATCATCGTGCTTTGGATCGCATGATTGGAGCAGCACGAATCTGTGGATAGCTGATTGGGTGAGTAATGCACGATTAAGTTGTACCATCAGGTGGAAATTGTCAGCTATTTTGCGTCACTGAGGGGAGGGCTAGAAAATGCGCACCAGTCACATATTGGCATAAAGTCGAACTGATGATTTAAATTGTCTCCCAATTACGAAACTTGAAGCAAGGGAGTAAAACGGACAGTCAGGTGACGTTCCTCGCATTTTCCTACCTCCTCCGCTTGAAAAAATAACAGTTTAACACCTGCTTTGATCGTCCGACTCAAATGTTCTGTGCACACCCCAATTCGTTGAACTTGAAAACGATCAGGTCCTGGACGGGGAATCGATCACCAGTCATTAGACATATTCCGGACCGTTTCCTGATGGCTTCCCAATGAATGGTCAGATTGAAAGTTCACATCATAAATCAAGCTCATTGACTGAACAAATGGTCGGCAGGCGAATATTCTAGGGCTGACGCCCTGGATGAAAATTGATCGCTGTTTACCCACCTAACGAGTCCTCGTGGGGACGAGGACGCACGTCTGGCCCACTTTACCACGTCCATTGCTTGGTAGCATCCGGTTGCTTCGCTTGAATCAAAGTCTAATCGGACAAAACATTCCGAATAGTCTATCTTTGTAATGTACTACTCAAAAGGTTGTTGAAAATTCGTCGATAGCCCACGACCGATTTCGCACTTTTTGGGGCTCACCAGGCAGGCGCAGTCCCCGGGTTTCCGTCAACCTTATGCTCTACTTGAAACTAAACTTCACGGAATAAGTGAATATACACTCATTTACGACGGATTTTCAGCAACCTTATGAGTAGTACGTCACAAACATATACATGTATTGCGATGTCTCGAATATCGTAGCGACTGAAACATGAGGCGACCTGGTGCAGCACATTCAGTTGCCTGAGAACATTACAGACGAGAGATTCAGCTGGGTTCCAGGTGAGTCACCAGAAAGACCAAATTAGTTCGATAATTCCGTGCAATTTGGCTTCAAGTAGAACATATGGTTGACGGAAACTCGGGGACTGCGCCTACCTGATGAGCCTCCAAAAGGGAGAGACCAGTCGTGGGCTGTCGACGAGTTTTCAGCAACTTTATGAGTAGTGTATTACAAAGAAAACACTTTCTGTTTCTTCAGATTGCTAGCCATGTACTGCGTTGGATGTAATAACAACACTTGCGCGGATATATATGTATTGTCATCAGTTCATATTGCTAGTGCAAATTTCGAATTCGTGGGTGCAGTTGCTATCATGCCCTATCAAAAAGCATTACTTCACCAAAGTAAATTCGGTTTGAGGGCTTGCTAAAACTATGACGAGTTCACAGCAGTCTGCTTTGGATCACGGCATGTCCGAAACACGAGTTTTGGCCATTGGAGTCAAGTGGTGCAAAGGGATTTGAGATACATTTTTAATCATTTTCATTGTCCTCATCGTAATTTATATAACATTCCGTAAATTTTTTAAATATTCGAGACGTTCAACTACCTGTAGAAATTTATTTGTTTTGGTGCAGGAGTCGCTTGCGAAATTGCGTCTAATAAAATCTTTGAAAGAAGAAAACTCCACGTCGAAGAGAAGCTTTGTACTCCCTATTATTTACAGAGAGATAAACGCCTAATTACCGTAAAGCTGGATTGTTTGAAGACTGAAAATTAGAATAAATTCTCAAAATAAATTCTCTCTTGCTGGGGGCTGACTGTTTAAACAATAAAAATATTTTTTAAATTCTGAATGCCCGTCATCACCTTCGTTTTTGTGTTGGTCGCGTCACAGAATCTGTGGAGGGACCGGGTAATCTGCTTACCACAGGAGTGCCTGAAGCACCGCAAGTTTTGGTGTTCCCAACGTCCGCTGTCACGCCTCAAAGCAAAACGACCGTTCCAACCCCTACCTCTACAGCCAAAAACGACGATTTGGTGACATCAGTAGACTCAGAGGAATCAGGTAAGAATAGGGTATTCTGCTCATTCTATCGCTTTATATTAAACACCAGGCTAACGTCTCTCGCAACACTTTATTATATTCTTACACGAAAAAGTTTCAAATGTATTGGGAGGCAGAATTTTCCCAATTTCTTTATTTACTGAAACATGTGATGCATACATTCTCGCAAGTCATTTTAAGTAGTGTTGTTTGCTACCGTATTCCTGACGCTGTGATAAACATTTTAGTACAACATATGTCCTAGAACTTACCCTGTGGCACACCTAGCGTCAGTTGTGTAGAATAGGCTGTAATGAAAGTTACACCTTTAAATACTGAAAGCACGATAAGAATGCGAGAGTTCTCAGAAAATAGTTTTGAGTTAGGACTGACTAAATCATTGAACATTTGAAATGCACCCCCTCTACTGTGTGGAAGCCTTTGATGCCAGTGTAAATACCGTGGAAGACGACTCTTGGGGTATACACCCTCTAAATACAATGAGCAATTTATAATAAAATTATTTGGCGCAAACCGAAACCTAGGTCGAGAATGGTAGATTTTTAAGTCTTCCTTTCGCACCTACTAACATGGATCGTGCGCACTAAGCTCGAGATAGCTCAGTGCTCAAGACAGTTTCTCAGCCTTTGTGCTTCCTTCGGGTGGCATGACAGCCAGGTACTAAAACAGTGCAACAAATGAGCAATTACTTTTTTTATTCATTAAAAGCGTTTAATAAATTGTCTTAGTTTTAATCGGGTGTCTTATGCATCATAGTAATTACTTGAGAGTATGTAAGCACGTGGAAAACCTAGCGGTCTTGTCAAACGGTCGTTTTGCACCGCACAGGAACAGCCTATTTCTAACTTGGAACGCCTCGGTGTTTTTTGTGACACATGTGGATGTAAGATAAGATGGGTTAACGGGATGAGCTTCAGATCGGAAGAGCACCCTTCCACTTCCAAAGCTCTGATGAATTACCTCGACTGGCCCTGTGGCTACTAAAACACGTGGGGCTTAGAAGCATTCATTCCCTAAGGGTGAGACGCTCAGCTGATTTTCGGACAATCAGCCTCGTCATTACAACTTGGACTAAGGCTCACAGAATGCCAAAGTTGGGAACAGCCAATCAGAAGCTAATATAACCAGTGTGACATATGTTCAAGCAAATATGGTGACCTTGTGATGTCGAAGTTGAGCGACGAGGTCGTCCGAATAACTGTCCAGTTTCCTCCAAAGATATCGTCATGCTTTGCAGTAACTGCTGGTCTCCCATGGACCAAACTCAAAGTTTTGGGGTAACACTGAGGAATTCCTGGAAACATGTACCACATAAGTTGAGAATGAGCAGTTCTAATTGCTTGCGTGATCAGGTTGCTACTTAAACTGTAACAAACAGACTACACAGTCTGGTCACGACTAAACCACTGGGCGTCATTCTACCTCGTCCCCGATTTCGGCACTTTTCTCGTTTTGCTTAGCGAACTTTCAACTAATATGGTCGATACCAGGAATAGATAGGTTTACTGGACTCCGTGTTGTGACAACCTTATATATCCCCCCTAGGGACAAAATATGGTGACAAGACTCAGGTAGGAATACGTATCTCAACGGAATAGTCGGTTGAGGGCAAGAATTATTTTTTTTTATATTTTCGAATAAAGATACTTCCCCTACAAGAAACTTGAATATTATCGAAAAGCCAACAGTTAAAATGAGGTATAAAATCGAGTGAAATTTGTGAGTTTGCCTATGTTGAAGCTAAGTACGGTACTATCATCCACGCTTCGGCAGTGGTGTTTGAACCTCATTTTACTCGCCTCCTACGTAAGTCAAATATCCGTTTAAAAGCTGATGAATTACGAAGGAAATTAATGGAGGCCAATAGAAACTAATGCCTTCACGGAGCAACTGAACATTGCCGTGGTTTGATGATTTGCGCCACTCAGTGGCCCATTGAGCTATACTGTGGGATGTCCCCGCGACACTCATGGACTCTCTCATACCAGGTTGGTTAATAATTAGAGGTCCTCCATGTTAGGGGTTGGAACATGTGCGGAGACTTGTTTCTTTCAACTGGCAACGTATCCCAGCTCCATGAACTGCAAAAATACAAATAAACCCATTCCGTATCAGCCGTAGCGTGATTCCATCAGCCAAGTCGGGTGACCGAAAGCAGGCTACCGCTGATGACTCTGTTCTTTCTCTTTCACGTGCCTTTTTTCCCTTCACCTCACTCAATTATTAACGCTCTCCTTGTAGACCTAGCACTTAGAAATGATGACTCCGCTTATCTTGCATCGGTTTTGCGTCCAACATCTTTTTGTCACGTGGCGCCGAAATCATCAGGTATCTCAAAATCAGTCTTCGGGCCTCGAGATCAAGTCCATCTAGCCACGTTCAATGCCTGCATTCTGAAACAAGAAAGATCTTGCTCTCCCATTAGACGCGTTTGGCACTGATGTGGACAATGACTCGGGAACAAGAATTCAAAATACAAGCACAGTAGTTGAGCTAAGAACTCCATCACCCTCTACTTTCTTCCGGCTGTGCACCTCTGGTGATCCAGGGGCGGCTGCGTTGGGAGGTCCATGGATCGCTATTATCCTAAGTCACCAGGCGGAATTATTCTTTCTTGACTGCATACCTGGTGATAACCGCCTTATCTAGCAAAGTCTTTGAATGAGTCTCACAAGTGGGAACTTGATCACTGTATGTTTATCGTGCCTACTTGCACCACAACTGACTGTAGCTCCGACGCCGTCAAAGACAAGTTTTATGACGTCCTGAATGCCTTGTTGCGGGGAGTTTAAAGCTCAGATGCTGTCGTAGTTGTCGGAGATATGAATGCACAATTTTACAGGATCTGAGACTTATTTAGGAGGCTCACATGGATCGGATTCTGTATTTACGGGCAATGGAGAACGATTGCCTCGGCTGTGTGCTGATCGCACGCTTTTTTTTTTATGTAGAACCAACTTCAGAAATAGCCGAAATCCTCTAGGTACAAGGTGTTTTCTAACGAGGTTTCGGTCAAAATCAATCACTTTGCCATCGGTTACCGATGGCGCGGATCAGTAACTGACTGTTGGGCGTTTTGGAACGTATTTGTGGATTACGACCACGCACTGCTCCAGAATCGCTTTTTTATACGTTTTGCAGAGCTGCTTAAGGTGCGGACAAAGAGCTTGACAATTGAGAGCCCGGCGGATCCGGATTTTAGACGAACTTACAACAATAGTCTTCTGCAGTCACTTCCAAATGCTCCACCAGCAGATGTGTATTCATAGTGGGACGAGATTGCCACCTATTTGTATGGTGCTGGGTATTTCGCCTGACACGACCCCTGAAGTGCTGCGTATCAGACCAAACGGTGGCACTGGTTAAGTCTCTCAGAAATATCTCAGGCGGTCCCGAAAATAACTTGTGTTTGGACACAGTAAGCTAAGGAAATGGAACAGTCGCGGAAATCCGAGAAAGCCAGAAGACTATTTCAGTTGATCCGTGCGACCGGCCTCACAACACCACCTCTGAACCAAACCATCGAGGATCAAAATATGGTATCCATCTTAAATGACTAAGAACGCCGCAACTGTTGGGCTTCAAGCACCACGAAGCTTCTGGTCCGTCTTGCCTTGTCTAAAGATGCGAGTAAAGTCCTCAGTCAGCGCTTGTCTGATCTGTTTGCTTGAGTTTGGGAAAGGAAGTCTGCGTCAAACAACTGGAGAACGCCGATGGTAGTTATCTACCAAAAAAGGGCTCGTATTGGTTGTGGTAACCCTAGGGGGGATCAGCTTGAGCTCTATCTTAATGAGATTGTAGGCTTCACTCTTGCTTGGCTGCCTTACGGTGGCTCGACAAACACTGACTCGATGTAATCAAGTGGAGTGACAGGCTGGTGAGGGTTTCGTTGACCAAATCTTCACAATCCGCCAGGTGCTAGAACAACAACATGCGTACAAACAACCCGCAATTCTAGTAATCCTGGATTTCTAAGGCGCATTCGATTCGGGTGACCGGTCTGTTCTTTTACACGCTTGTCCAACAAGGAATACCTCGGAGGTTTGTAAGCACAATAAGTTCTCTGTATTCTCACACTGTGACAGTACACGGACAGATCTCCAAAAGCCTTCGTATACAGAGCGGTGTCCATCAGGTTTGCTCACTTTCTCCATTCGCGTTAACTTTCGTGATTGATTAAACAGCGGGACGAGCGCTGGAAGGTCTTCAAAACTCCATTGTTCGAATAGCATGTGACAAAGATCCTATTGATCTGGAATGTGCAGACCGATGTCGTTCTCATGTTCGAAGAGGAGAAAGTGCAAGAGTTCTTGGATGAACTGACCAAAGAATCCCGTCCTTTGGTATGCACTTTGCATCCACAAAGTGTGAGGTCATGCTCGCGGACACGAATCTGCAAGGCTCTGGACGCCTTTGCTTATTCGAGCCACATATGACGTCAAAGTGGTGTAACCCTGAATCCCAAGGGACCTGTGTATCAGGCTACAGTACGGGCTGTTTTGTTGTACGGCTGAGAGCTGGACTGTTTGGGCAGCGGAACTGAAATGCCTTCAGATCCTCGACAAACTTTGCCTCAGGACCATTGCGCGTATGGGTTGTTGTCGGCGAATCCGTAACGAGGCAATTAGGAAACGGGTTTTCGGTTGGGCAACAGGGATTTTCATTGAAGAAAGTGTCCAGCACCTGAAGCTGCATTGGTTGGGACATGTGTTGCGTATGCCAAACCATCGTTTGCCGAAGAGAGTGCTGTGTTCACACCCGACCAATAGTGATGGAAGTAGAGAGGTGGCTTACCCTCGAACTGGAATAGGGGTATGAAGAAGATTACGAAAGACTTGGGTGCTGTCGGTGCTACTCGCCTTCTGGGATGGGTACCGCATGATCCTCACAGCACCTGGTCGTAGACGCTGCAAGATATGGCTGCCAGCCGATGTCAGTGGCTTTTTTGTTGTCAGTTTCTACCCAGCTTACCTGAATGAGCGTTTGGAGGTGTAGGTACCTCGAGATGATTGTAGTAAGCTAGCAATAAGTCCCTTCCCGGTCCGCCTTTATTCTTTTCTTCACAATTAGGCTTCCAAATAAATCATGGTTGCATGGCAGCGAAGCATCGGTGTTGAACACTGATGTGGGTGATGATGATGATAGCCAACGGTAAAAAATCGCCGAATAACCGTAGGATATGTATTGTGCTTACATTCTTTTGTTTCAGTCGTATATGACAGGCGTGTTTGCCCACAAATAAATTCATATACATATGTATATATTATAAGATCGAATCCTTCTGGCAGCAAAGTCCCTCCAAACAAACGTTTCCACGCTCCTTCTAACCGCTTAATTTTCTTTTAATATTGTGTTTTGTGTAGCATAAGGCTTGCTGTGCTTCCTGCTACTCCTGTATTTCCTACTTCTTTATAAGAGTTTCCTTCTCACGGTGTATTCAGCCTCCGAATTCCCGAACAGTTTGGATAAAAATCTGATGGGGAAGTTTAGCTGTTTTCCACAGAATTACTGGTTTAGTCGATTAGGGACTTTGCGGTTCTATGTCTTATGGGAACAAGTAAATTCACGTCGAGTTTTGATATAGATACACTCTGGAGATACGTCCTGTGACCGCATAGGGTTAGAAAGTCGCATTTGGTCAAAATTAAAAACTCAACTGCATTTCTCTTTCTCTTAGTGAATTCAGATGGCTAAGTTTGCTACAGAAATTCGCATAACCGACTAGCCCACGGATATTCCCAATTTAGTGTCTGATTGGATCAGGACGGTTGGTGAGAACGGTGTCTATTGCATCGGGTTTTGGGAAAGGCGGAGGTGAATAGGAGATGTGAGGCCGAATGAAGGTTCTGGCTTGTTAACCCTAGAAATCCGTAAAAACCGCTATCTGGGGTCCTGTGTGCGCTCTGGGTACCCACCTTGACCGGTGATCAATCAGTTTGTGTCCAACCGAACATGATCCAGCCACTTTAGGTGAGGAATAGTTCAGTTAAGATAAGCTCTGGTCTACGATCTAAAAACCAGTAACTTATAGGACATTTAACGTTGTCTCATCGTTTGTGACTGACGGTATCATGGGACATCATTCATTTACGGGGTTGGTTTCTGTTTGGATGCCACCAATTGCAAAAACGTACATCTATTAATTGGTCACGTACGGCGGTGGGCATAGATTTGCTTTATAATATTCGGCTTGTTTTCCAAGACTTGTATTTGCTGAGTTTTTTACCAATTGTTTGATTTTTTTCTTTGGTCACCCTTCTTGGGTAAAGCGAAAACTTAGAAGCAGTGCTGGCATCATTTCTGGCAGCACTCTAGAAGTTAGCAACGATATTTCAAATAGCTTGCTGATTTTGCTGCGTCACGACACTGCTTAGGGAATGGTGTTGGCCGTAAATGAATATATCTTATATTTCAATGCAATTTGAGTTCCTCTCAACCTCTTTTTTACCAAAGCTCTTGCAAACTGACACTTTCTTGAGATAAGTTTCAACTGGTGGCGCATCACCTTCAACTCTAAGTCGGCTCGTGCACGTTTTCTTGAATTCATTATTGTAAAGATCTGTTTCTCCAAGACCGATTTGCTTCAGTTTTTTCCTTTCTTACAACCTTTCGCTATACTGACACCTGTCACAGAGTTGAACTAAACGATGTGGATAAATGCTGTTATCAATCTCTATCCTAATACACTTAATAAACTAAGCTGTGTTTTATC